CGGGGCGGAGCCCGGATCGGGGCCGCCGCTGGGGCTCGGGGGCTTTCTTGGGGGCCAACATAAACGCCATCTGCCCAGAGAGAGAGAGAAAGGTTGTGTTCCCCTGCACCGCCTCGCCACTGCCGCCTCGGCCCGCACAACATGCATCTCCGTCTAGATCTAGATCGATCTGTATATACAGATAGATACATCTTTATCTATCTATCTATAGATAGATAGATAAAGATCTATATATATATAGATATAGATAGATAGATAGATAGATAGATACACACACACACACACACATATACACATGATCTAGTCACTGATCTATGGTCAATGCCTCCTTCCCCCATATCTATGTATACACACACCTTCTGGTCACTGATCACTGCTTCCTTAACCCATATAAAGACATATAAAGGTTGTATATACATGTACACACACTCACATATCTATCTATATATATATATTATACACACACACACACACACACAAATGTGCACATACACACACACACACACACACACACATACACATACACACAGTCTAGTCGCCGATCATTGCCTCCTTAACCCACTAGTGACTGGTCACCCATGGTCACTGCCCTTACCCCATATCTACATATACACACACACCACTTCTGGTCACTGATCACTGCCTCCTTAACCCATATAAAGACATATAAAGGTTGTATATACATGTACACACACACACGTATATATATATATATGTATAATGTATACATATATATACACACACATATATATACACACACATATATATACACATACATACACACACACATAAGCGTGCACATATATACACACACACACACATACACACAGTCTAGTCACCGATCATTGCCTCCTTAACCCACCAGTGACTGGTCACCCGTGGTCACTGCCCTTGCCCCGTATCTACGTATACACACACACCTTCTGGTCACTGATCGTTGCCTCCTTGACCCACCGTAGGAACCCACCAGCCGTTACAACCCTCGCACCCGTGGAAAGGCAGGCCCGTCTGCAAGGCATCGTCTCCCTACAGCCCCTGGCCTCTTAGTCCCGTCCCCAATGATGGGGTTGCAAACTCATTTCACCCGCTGGAGGACGGTCTTCCGATTTGGTTGTCTCGAGGTCCTCTTCGCTGTGTGTTTCCCCGCTGGGGCAGGGGTCTTGAAAGATCCTGTGCCAAGTGTCACTCTGCCAGGCAGATTTAGCTGCGTCCTCACCGTCGTCTGGGCCTCTGGTGCTCTTTGCTTTGGACCCCGTGGTGTGGGTGAGAGGGGCCTGTGGGCTGCGTGACAGGCCAGGCTCAGGGCAAGGGACTTGCCTCTCTCTGGACTTCCCCTGATACATCACAAGGCCGCAGGCAAAATGCGGGGGTTGAGCCTGGCCTTTCTCCATTGACAACCCCCCCCAACCCTGCACGGGCTGTGTCTTTCCACAGGCTTGGGACCTGCAAGAGCATCCAGGACAGGCCTAACAAGGGTTTGGTGGATCTGGCCCCCTGTGTCACCTTCCCCCTGCCTGGAGTGGCAGCAAAAATAGGAGCAGAAGGTGTGGGGCATCATGGAGGGCACTGCAGAGCCCCCCTCTGCGCCCACTCTCTGCGGGTGACTCCCGGGGTAGTCTCCAGGGTCTGAGCTCTGTTACTCATCCTTGTCTCTTGGACCGGGCCAGGGGTACCCAGATGCAAAGGTAAGTTCCTGCATTTCATCTCAGCATCTGCATGCACCTTGGACCCATCGTCTTCTCCCCGAGCTCTGAACCCAGCTTGGGGTCTCCCTCTGCCCCGAGCTGTGGAGGCTGCGGAGATCTACGATTGTGGAACAACCCCCTTCCACCTCCCTCCACCCGAATGCTGGGGCCTTGCAAACCTCCCCTTCTGCTGCAAGACCAAGTGCGGAGCGCTGCACACCCCCGTCCGGCTGGGGAGAGCAGGGAACTGCTACCACCAGCCTTGAGACAAGACCCTGCTCATGGGGCGCCCTGCTTCTCCCTGCCTGGGCTCTCCGTGCCCCCGGGGGGCTGCAGACGCCGTCCAGGAGTTGGCAATGAATGGCATTCTGGACAGCGCAGGGAGCGGCAGTGCCCGACCCCCCGGGTGCTGTTTCCATCAGTAGATCTCAAAGCTCAGGGTCTTCAGCCTGGTTTTGATAACTGGGGACACTGAGACAGAGAGCGAGCCAAAGGGGGCTAGCTGGTGGCCACCCAGGAAGCGCATCGCAGGGCCTCGCCTCCTGGCCGGGGCACTCTCCATTTGGCAATGCTGCCTCTCAACAGCCGTTGCTGAGTTGGCTGCAGGGAGGCCTGGGGCAGATGTCATCCACCTACCGCAGCTGTTTGCAATTCATCCTGTGCCCAGCGGGCAGCTCCAATCCCAAAGAAAAGGGATCCCATGTAGCCCCAGAGCCGACCTGAGGGCACCAGCCACCCCGGGGGGCGAATTTCTGCCCCCCCAGACCTGAAACCACCCTCCCACCTCCAGCTGCCGGTTCCTGGCCCGTGCTGGCTTGGAAGGGCGATGAAGAGCTCCATTTCTTTGGCTCTGCCCTACTCATTCCTTAATGGGCTCGAAGGATTAATGAGATGATTGTTTTCCCTCCTTCTTGGAGAGAGCCAAGGCCAGGATGCTGAGTCAAACTCCAGATCACGGCGCACATTCCTAGACGGCTTCCTACGGTCGCCGCGCTCCTCGCTTACGAGCGACAGTTATAGATTCATCTCGCTGAGCAGCCAGGCTTCGGATCCAGTCCAGCCTCCGGCTGCAGGAAGGATCAACCCTGTCCAAATTATCCCAGACAAGCGCCCGTCTGCCCTCGTCCTAAAACAATCCTGCCGCCCAACGGCGCTGGGGACCCGCCAGCCTCCGTGGTTTTGCTGTGCAGATGTACCCGACATGGCTCACGTGTCTTTGTGGCTCCTGCTGGCCCAGGGCCGTCTGCTGCAGCCTTCTCCCGCCTGCAGAGGGGTTGGGATGAAAAGGGACTCGCCCAAGGCCTCTGTGGAAGTCGGTGGCAGAGTCAGAATGAGATCCAGACTCTCCCACCATTGCCCATTATAAGCCCCTCCAGTGCCACCTTCTTAGGTCTCGGGGAATGGGGCCTGATCCTCCCCGTGGGCTCAGGGCATAGCGGGCTAACAGAGGACAAGCGAATGTCAGGTGCCTGGTGATGACAGGCAGAATCGGGTTCGTGTTGCACTCCCCTGTCCGAGATCAGAGCCTCTTAGCACCAGTCACCTGCGGAGAACACCTCCCCAGGGCACCAGGTGCCATGCAGTCGGCTGGAGGAGGGACAGGGCCCCGGCCACACATGAAGTGGGGCTGGGGGTGCAACCCCAATGCTGCATCCCAAATTGCTCCCTGCTCTTCAGGCCCAGGGGCTGCCGGGCTGGGCACGGCGGGCGGGAGAAGTGACTCACCGTCCCGGATCCCCCCACGTTGCAGGCACTCCTGGCACCGCGCGAGACACGTCTCGGAGGACGTCGTGCCTGTGTCAACCCTCCCATGGGCTGATCCCTGGAGGGAGATCAAAGCCTACTCCTGCAGGGGTGATGGAGCCAGCCTGGCCTGCCCGGCAGCAAGGCTGGGGGAAGGGGAGGGCAGGGGCATCAGCCTGGCACTGCCACTGAGCTGCTAGAGACAGGGGATGGCACAAGGGTGCAGCCTTCCTGCTAGAGGAGCTGTGGGGGCTTAGAGCCGGCCAGGAGGCCAGCTACTTACCCCTTCTTGGGGTAGCTGGGTATCTTCCCCTCCCTGGAAATCAGGCAGGACTTTCCCCCTCCATTACAAAGGGCAACAAGTTGCAGAGGGAGGGGGGCCAGATAGCAAGAGGAAGAGGGGTTGCAAGGCAGTCAAGTGAGCCGGGGCAACAGCAGCCTGGGCCCCCAAGCACATGCCAGGGACCAGGGCACAGCTACCACCATCCCCCTTCCTCTTGCTGAGGGGAGGCAGCCTAAGGGACTTGCCCAAGGAGCCCCAGGAAATCAGTGGCAGAGCAGGTTGCTGGGAGGTGGAGCAGGCACTGGGCTGGCTTTATCGATGCCTGCAAGAGAGCGGCCCAAGCGCGCAGCCTAGCACGGGCAGTGTTCTCTGCATGGGGCCAGGCTGGGACCCCAGCCCTTCTCACCTGCTCCCTGCCTCAGTTTCCCCATCTGTGCTAGGAGGATAAACACGCAAACTCTGCATCTTGGTGACAGCAGCCCAGCATTTACCTTATACCATGAGCAGCACATCTGCCAAGGGGCCCCAAATGAGCCCGGCAGCCAGAGTCCCCGACGGGATCAGGGCAGGGAAGGATGAGCCTTGCCTCACATCTGGCAGCAACACGGGGAAGAGGTCCCTGGAGTCCCAGCCCAAGACACCCCATGGTGGAAAAGGCAGAGGTCAGTGGAACAAGCGGGCACCACAGTTGCCCACCAAGGTTCGGTGCCGCCCCACGGACCTACCCACATGTCATCCTGGGGGCATCTCAGAGCCGCCTCCCCATGCACATAGGCAGCCGCTAACGTACCAGGAGTTTCCCTGCCAGGGACCAGAGCCCAGCCAGGGCCATCTCCCTCCCGCCCTCCCACCCGCTGGTGGCTGGACGGAGCTTGCAAGGGCTGGACCGAGCCCTTCCTGCCATTGCTGCAGATGGTCGCAGGCTCCCAGCTCTGCTCCCGGGGCTCCTCCTCCGCCTCCCAGCGCCGCAGGACGAACCTGAAACCAGGGATATAAATATCCTGCTGCGAGATCTCGTTGCTCCTGGTGCAAAGCGGGACAGATAGAGGGCAGGAGGTAGCGGGG